ATATTAATACCCCTAAATAAAAATATTTTAAATAAATAAAAGGGATGTGGATTTGCTTGACATATGCAGTAGGTGAAATGCGAGGTTAACCATGCAAATTAAAAATCAGCGGTCTAAGAGCCGGTTGTTCAAGGTCTGCTTATCACTACCTACCAGTAAAACAGCACTATCGACGTTCAACACTTACTGCAACACTTACTGTGGGGAATTTCGCTTCATGATTAGAAACAGTTTTTCGTAATTAGGTGTTATTTATGAACAAAATGTAGGTTAAGGGCGGGCCGGTTTTTCAATGTCTGGTTATCACTACTTGCCGGTTAAACATCGTTATCGACGTTTTCGACATCATGCATATAACATGTTGTATTAAACCGGCGCTTCTACCTTCGATTAGTGCTAATCAGACATTGAACAACCGGCCCTAAGTATAATATCAATAGTTAAGTACATAATTAACGTTTGTGTTTCTATTAACTGAAAAAAAAATCAAATCGTAATTATAGCACTGAATGGAGTTTTCTGAAATGTAAGTTTATAATTAAAAAATATTCATTGTAAGATTATATTTTTATGAAATTTTGGCTGCATTTCTTTATTCGGTATGTTTGGAATAAACTTTTTTGTTTATTTATTCTTTAGAACGTTCCTGATGATATGTTGACGTATATTTCAAACGCATTCTGTTTATTCCGGCTGTGAAATGGGATTATCCGGAATGTATAAAGAAACGCAGCCTTTGTGTTTTTTTTGTGAATTTATCAAGTATGTATATAAATTTCCGAATATAGTTAAGTCTATATTCAAAAAAACAAGGATGATCTGATGACCAGCACATAAAAGATCTGATAACCTAACCAATAAAATCATGAATAAAAAAAATTAACTCTAACCAACTTTTTTCTGATATTATGGGTTTACTCGAAAGAACAATTATTCCCATTAGTTATGGAACACGATTTCATCATGTGACTAGCTTCGCAGTAGCGCATCCTGTCAACCATGTCCTTTCCAAGCCCGACATACGCCTTAAGGGCCTGAATCGTTAATAGATTAATCGCATAACTAATATCGATCCTTCACGGCATGTCACAAAAAAAGTCTAAAGGCTCTGTTATGCATACTTGGCATAACGGCGTGAAATCGCGGCTGCGAGGGGGGCCAATTGACATCGCCGAGACGGCTGATGACACAATTACGGAACTTGGCGCTCAAAATAAAAATTGAATAGATGGCAATTCTAACAAAAAATATTTTCAAACTAAAGTTTTTTAAAACTTTATTTTGACACTCATATTTTAATATTTCATTAAAATTGTGTATAAATTAGACTTTTCAAACAGAAGGCAACCCTCTGCGAAAGTATTTTCAAACTAGAGATCTTTTTAAACCTCTTCCGTCTGATACTGTTATACATAATTCAATTAACTGATGAATTAAATTTAGTTAAATTTTTTTTATCACCTGGCAACTCTCCTAAATACAGGTCAGATATAAATTCTTTCCAAACTCATAAACGATTGAATACCCTCTTTTAATAATTTATTTAACTTTATAATTCATTTGATTTTAAAATTTTCAACAGCTGGCAACTCTCTTCATGTGTTCAAACTAAATATTTCTTAGCACTCTTTCGTTTAACAACCGTATTTTAATACTGTATATAACTTGTTTTTAACTAAATTCGAGTTTAAAAACAGGTGGCAACCCTATTCAAAACATTTTCAAAATACTATTTTCTTAAACCCCTTTCGTTTGGATCCTTATGGAGAAACATTTTTATACCCGAGCGCACTTGTGCACAAGGGTATATTAATTTTGTTCACATAACGGTTGTTTGTAACAGCCAAAACGAATCGAGATAGATATAGACAAATGTATACATAAATGATCAGGATGAAAAAAGAAATCGATTAAGCCATGTCTGTCCGTCCGTCCGTCTGTCCGTCTGTCCGTGTACACGATAACTCGAGCAAAAATTGAGATATCTCAACGAAATTTGGTAAAAATAATCGATTAAGCCAAAGGTAGGTTGGTATTGAAAATGGGCGAAATCGGAATGTAACCACGTCCACTTCCTATATAACGGTAATTTCCAGAAATACGAAAACTGCGATATTTTAGTGACTACTGAAGATAATTCACTCAAAATTGATATTTACAATAACTTTTAGACGAAAAATAAGAGTATTATAAATTTTTAGAAAATGGGCGTAGCCACGCCCACTCATGTGTATATCTTGGTAACCGCTGCACCAATTTCTTCCAAACTTGGCACAGTTGTTGGCCTTGATACAGCATAGTAAATGGCCGAAAATTTAAAAAATCGGACAATAACCACGCCCACATCCCATATAACGGTAATTTTCGGAAATACGAAAACTGCGATATTTTAGTAACTACTGAAGATTATTCACTCAAAATTGA